TCAAGTAATTTGTTTAGAGGACGATCTATGTCAAAGCAAAATTTTACAAAACAACGATGGTAAGAGCACAGTCCAAAAAATCCTCTTACCTCACAAAGGTTCTTTGGTATTCACCAATTTAGTGTGGAGTGAATCTTTCATGGATCTGTAGACCTTCCTGCTTTGTTGACTTTGTGTTCCAAAAAACTCACCTGTTGACAGAATAATTCACACTTCTTTTCATTCATCTTAAGGCTATTTTTCCTCAACCAATCCACAACCTCCCTTAGCCCTTCATAAACATTATCTAAAGTCTATCCATGTGCAGTGACATCATACAAATAGATAAGTACAACTTTTCATGGCTATTCAGATAAAGTACACTCAATTAATCATCTAAGTGTAGCATGAGCATTACATAATCCAAATGGTAGTACAACAAATTACCACAATCCATTTTACGTAGTAAAGGCTGTCTTCTCTCTACTTATTTTGTTGACTTGTACTTTCCAATATCCACCTTTAAGAACCAATGTTGAAAACCATTTTGATCAGATAGAGCATCCCAATTACAGTAAATACTTGGTAATCTGTAGACACCTTTCTTTGCAACTTCATTCACCTTTCAGAAGTCCATTCAAAACTTTACGGATCTATTATTTTAGTTCACAAGTGCAATAGGTGATGCCCAGGGACGAGTACTCTGTTCTATCACTTCTTGTTTCTTCCTGGCTTCTATGTCATTGAAAGCCTCAGAATTTTTCGCAAGTGAAAGTAGTCTGACAATGGACATATGGGGCTACATCTCCAGTATCAATTTTCTGAGGTATTTTACTTGTTTGGCCTAAGCCATCAGATCCACTAGAGAAGATGTCTTGATATTCCATGGGCAAGTTACATAACCACTGATATTGACCAGTTGTAAAACCTCCACATCTCTGGTCATATAACTCTTGTAAGTGAGGTGGTAACTGCCCTTATGTAAGGGTTTGACATCAGACTTCCTGCATCGTTCCTAAAAGGTAAAAACTTAAAATGTCCTTTGATGTGGAAGTACTAAATGTATAGCTTTACATCTTGCAATATACCACCTAGATTAACTCAGAATTTATGGTTTGCTGTGTACATGGCTGTAATGATAACACTCTTATTCTTCAGATCTATAAAAAGCTCATCCAATCATTAATACACAGAACTTGCTGAATATTTTGTTTCTACTATGGCCCAGTCACTAGATGTATGATTACACTTCTCAGTGATACAATAACTACTGTTCTTGTTGTTATTGAAAGGCCCATTTCCGGTCCAATAACTGTCGTGTATTGCACAGAGATTTTCTTGTCATAGACTTTGAAGCTAGCATAACCCAACATTCACATATTTGCATGAAGACAGTTTCCAACATGCATTTTTCTTCGGTAACAATTCTCTACAAATCATAACTTTCCTACAGCCAGGGTAACTTCTGGTTTTTCTTGCTATAACTTTATGTCCAGTTTCTGCTTGAATCACTCCATCTTCTTTCTCTATATCTGAAAGCAGTTCCCGGGTCGGTTCGGGACAAAGGGCAAAATCCCGGTAGGCTGGTGACGCCTGTGGCTATGGGTTATACCATCCAAGTGCTAGTGAATAACCTATGTACATCTCTCTTTCTATATATATATCATCCTATTTTTGAGTATTTGCCCAAGCCGTTTTAGGCTCCCAATCCGCCCCTGGGAGTTTCCAACCTTCCATTACTAAATCAATAATAAATAAACTTAGTATTCCGAGAATTGTTTAATCTTGAAGTCTAGGTTCAAGGGAGGTCCAGTTCAATCTACACTTTGATCAACATGTGTTATTGGATTATACTAGTTTCAGAGCGTTCCACTCCTCATCAGTAACCCTGGACACAAGTTAACCAAAGAGAGATAACCTGGATCTATATCATAGTGAAAAGTATCAAACATATTGTTGGTGCAAATGTGCTTTATAGTCACTTCACCTATCCAGTGTATAGGTTTTTCTCAAAATGACTATAAAGCACGTTGTAATCTTTCTGTACATCTTCAATAGCTTCATCAATCTTGTCTTCAATCAAATTTATTTTTGATTTTAATTATTCTATAAATAGTAGATCTTTTTCTTTTAACCCCATTCTTTTAATTTTATATTTCTTTCTTCTAATCGTTTGTCTCATTCTACCTGATATTTCTTTAAATTTTCTATCACTGCCTAAGAATTTTCTGTTTCATTCTTCCTGGCTTTCTTTTGAACTTTTTCTCTTTCTTCTAATTTTCTGTCTTATTAATCTTGATTTTCTTGTAATTGTCTATCTCTTTCTTTTTGATCTTGTTTGAATAAATTTCACCATCTCAAGTAACAACTGAATCACACTACTTGACCTTGTGGTCAGTATCTTCAACAGTTGAAGTTATAAAATTGTTTTCTATTTTCATCAAATTAACCCCATTTCTCACACTAGTGTTTTAACGTTGTTCTTTCATTTACGGGTTTTTAAAATTAATCTCGTAAAATCAGTTCAACATCCAGTCCACGTAAATTACAAATTAGTTGTATTTCCTTCTTAAGTTTCACATTTTGTATCTTACTGTACGACTGTGTTTACATACATGCTATCTGCACGACACTAACACAAAAATCAGCTTGTTCAAAGTAGCTCACTAATACACGATAGCTAACACAGTGTTGCGTCAACGAGGCCACATGAATAGTATCACGCTACTCCTTCTCTCGAACCTTCGTGAATTATCGGGATACTACTAGATATGTGTTAGTCTTGTATATATAAGACGTTGACAACGTGACGGGAACAGAGGTAATGAGTAATTGAACTGCAGTCAAAGAGTGTGTAAATATTGAGTCACCTACGACACAGATTTTACTGGATAGGTATGAGACAAGATGTGGAAGAATGATGCAGAACATGCAGTACATGTTGTGTTAAAAGGGGACCCAAACATAAGCGACGTGCTCAAATGAAGTTATATCAAGTTGGTGCACCAATGGAAAGAGTAGTCGTCGACATTGCTGGTTCTCTGCCCCAAATTTT